AATATTGATAATAATGGCTAATTCTATAAAAAAAATTTCCTGTGTGCCAGGGACTACTTTTACTGGATTATCTGATTTATTTCTCACAGCTGCCCTATAAAGTACAATTATTATCATTTTGTAGATGAGGAAACTGAGACACACAGATACTAAATAATTCATCAAAAGGTAGCCAATGGAAGAACCAATATTTGTACTCTGTCTCTAAAGGAACCTCATCAGGAGTCTGGATAAACACATTGTAGCATATTCATACAGTGGGATACTACTTAGCAATAAAAAAGACAAATTTCTCATACATGCAGCAACATGGGTTGTGGCAAGTAGGATACTGTACAGCCTCCAAGATTTTTACCTCCTGATGTATGATGTATATGTATATATCTCCTCACATAGATGAGGAAATTTATTATGGGAATTGGTTCATGCAATTATGAAGGCCCGTAAGTCCCATGATAAGTCATCTGCAAGCTGGAGAATCAGGTAAGTCAGTGGTTTAATTCATTCTCAGTCTGAAGACCTGAGAACCAGGACAGCTAATGGTATAACTTTCAGTTCAAGGCCAAAGGTCTGAAAATCAGGAGTGTGGGAGTGGCATGGGGGTGGGAAGCTGAAATACAAAGAATATGGATGTCTTCTCAAGAAGAGAGAAGGAATTTACTTTTTCTCTGCCTTTTTGTTCTATTCAGGCCTTCAATGGATTAGATAATGGCCGCCCACATTGGTAAGGGTAGATCTTCTTTACTTAGTCTGATTCAAATATTAATCTCTTCCAAAAACACCCTCATAGACATACCCAGAAATAATACCTCATCAGCTATCTGGGCATGCCTTAGCTCAGTCAAGTTGACATATAAAATTAACCATTATATTACTCAGGTGATTATGTTACATAAAGTGACAAGAGAGAGATTATTATGGATCTTTCTTAATCAAGCTAGTCCTTTAAAAGAAGAAAATTTTATGCAGGTTATAGGAGAGGTGATCGGAGAAGACATGCTTTAATTGACCTGGAAGAAAGCAAATAACTATATTGTAAACTGACTACTGAGGTCATTTGACAAAAAACTGCAGATGACCTTCAGAAGCTGAGAAGAGTCTTCGGCCAAAATCTTGCATAAAAATGGGTCCTCAGATTTACAACCACATAAAAGTAAATTCTGACAACTAGTGAGCGTAGAAAAACACCTAAAAGAACATTGAGCTCCATATAAGAACTAAAAGTTTCTGCTGACATCTTGATGTGAGCCAGAGACTCTACACAGAAAATACAGCCATGTTGTGCCTGAACTTCTGACCTACAGAACTATGAAATAATAAACTTGTGCTGTTACTATGAAATAATAAACTTGTGTTGTTATAAGTTGCTAAAGTTGTGGTAAGTTACATAGCAATAGAAAACGAATGCATAAATAAGCCCCACAGATGTTAAGCTGAGCAAAAGAAGCAGGACACTAAATAATGAAAACTGTATGATTCCTTTTTAATAATAATGTTCTAAAGATGTTCCAAATAGGGAAATTTTCTGGGTAGGTGGAAACACTGTCTTGTGATAGGGGTGTGAGTTACATGATCATATTCATTTGTCAAAATTGTGCTGTCAAGATTTTTGCATTTCAGTATTTGTAAATTATACTTTAAAAACTGTTAGTAGTAATGATACTTGAGTGAGAGGGTTGGGGAGTGCTGACGATATAGACTGAACAACAGTGGTCAAATATTGATAATTATTGAAGTCAGATGATGGGTACATGGGGTCAATGCATTATTTTGATTACTTATTTATGATTGAAATATTCTGTCATTTTTTTTTTTTAGAAAAGGCTTCTCAGATGATTCTAATCTTTTATCTGAGTCCAGAGGCTCCCTTTATTTTCAACCATCCCTTTACCCAGCAAGCTCCCATTATGATATAGTCTACTTGGAGTTTATCTCGCCCCTGTGCCACTGCATCATTATACAAGGACAGGGGTCTTTTCCTGGGGTATTTTACTTAATGAATCTAGCTATGCCCAGCCCAGATATTCTACTCTGTGGGATTAGAACACTCTGGGTATCATGTGTACTCTGCTACTTTCTCCACTTGTAAGTTTGCTGTCCAGTGAAATTTAAGCTTATAACAGGTGTTTCTAGAACTGTTTTTTGTTTCCCTTGAACAATAGGTATTGACTGTGGAGAATAACATAGTACTCTTCCCAGTACTATAATTTTTTTATATGTACAAATAATGGGATAGTTCAACTGAACACATCTACCTTTGGGTTATGTCAAGTCACTAGCAGAGCTAGTAATTGATAGCTCTGATTTTTGTCAGCCACCACTACCCCAAAGCACAAAATCCTTTTAATAGGTGGGTCATTCAGAATTCCCACAACAGCAAGTTTTCTAAGAAAAAAATAAAACAGGAGAAATAATAGGAGAGAGAACATTTTGTAAACATTGCCAAATGTCCTAGATGTTGGAGCATTTTTACTTGGTTCCTTTTTCCTTTTTTTCAGATTTAATTCTTGATATGGATGTTTTAAGTTATTTAAGCTTACACTAGTTATTAGCATACACTAATAGTGTGCTTAGAATTTTTTAATATGAAAATTTAAGTGATATAGTATAAAAGGAAGAGAGTAGCTAAAATCCAGCAGGCTAAAAAATGAAATAAAAAAACTCATGGGTTAGAGAGTTACCACTTCTGTCAATGTTTGACTATGTTGTTTAAAACTGGTTTTTCTGTTGAGAATGACTATACAATATGGGTAACATATTAAGAAAAGAACATCTATATGAAGGCTACCAAGAATGACTATACAATATGGGTAACATATTAAGAAAAGAACATCACATAGCTACCAAATATTCTTAAGCCAAGATTTGAAAGAAGAGGGAAACTAACAAAAATGAGTTCAGTATTTGGTGACACTTTTTTCCTTCAGAAAATTGTAGATTTCAAAACTGAAATTAGTGGCGGGAGGGATGAGAAGCTGAGTTGATTTTCTCTGATTATTATGAAGAACTGAAATTTAGAATTGAAAGTTTAGTCAAGGAGCTAAACCGCCACATATCTTTTCAGTTGGGACCTTCAAAAGATGCATCCTAGAGTGAGAGTAACCCAGAAAAGCCCTTATAGCAACTCTAAGTTCTTAATTGGATTAAAGTAAATTTCTCTTAGTTCTAATGCTTGATAAAAGCAAACCTAACTCTCTGGAGAAAGATAAATCTAGATCCTCAAATTATTTTTACAGTCTTTTAAAATCTGCAATGTATGTCAACCAATATCTATCTAACCTATTCACACACAAAGACAAGAATTGATCAAAACCAAGAATGATAAAAATATACACTCAAGAGATCCAGATGCTGGTGTTACCTAAATACCTTTATAATAACCATGATTAACAGTCAAGGAGGAATAATTTTGTCAGAGAACTAACAACTCTAAAAAACACATGAACATTTTAGAACTCATAAACAACTGAAATAAAGAACTAGTGGGTAATCTAATGGCTTATTTGACACCGCTAAAGAGAAAGATAATAAGTAGTTATATAGAGAAAAGAAAGTGCTCAGATAGAATAAAAATGTACAAAATGAAATAAGAAATATATGAGACAGTGCAAAGTTCTGACATATGTGTAGCAGAAATTCTAGAAAAAGAAAAAAGAATAGAGTATAAGCAATATTTGAGAACATAATGATTTAGAAATTTTCAAACAAATTAAGGAAATTAAGCCACATATTTGAGAATTGCAATAGATGATTAACAGGATAAATACCAAGAAAAACATATGTAGACAAATTATAATAAAACTGCTGAAGTGCTTAGCAAAAGTGAGGAAACAAAAAGCAACAAAGAAAATCATTAAATCAGACCAAATAAAGAGATCTATTACTATCAAATGAGACACAATAAACTTGACAGTTGACTTTTTAACAAAAACAATGGAAGGTAAAAGACATTGAAATAATAACTCAAAGTGATAGAAAATATTATATGTAATATAACATAAATCAGCCACAAAAAATTCTATTCCACAAAATATACCATTCAAAAAGGAGTGCAAAATAAAGAAATTTAGATAAACAAAGACTGAAAGAATTTATCTTCAGGATATGTGTACTACAAGAAATAATATTGAAGTACTTCATACAGTAGGAAAATAATCCGAACTGAAAGCATAAAAATCCAGAAAGAAACAAAAAACAATAAAATTATAAATATATGGAAATATCCAACTGAATATTGATTGCATTAACCAATGCAATTACATGCTGCTGATTTTAAAATATGTAACAAAACAGCACAAAGAATGAAAGAATATATAGAGCTCAATTATTCTAAGATCCTTACATCGACAGTACTAAATGATCAAAACCACAATTAAAGTGGAAAACTTTAACATAGCCTCTCTAAGAAACTGATAGATTGTGTAGACATGGAAAAATATAGAAGATTTGAATAATAACAAACATTATCTAATAAATAAATATGTATATACAAATGTGAGCTGCACTCAGCAACCAAAGAATACTTACATGAACTATTTGCCATAACAAGGCTGGTTCAACACATTTCATCAGATTGAACAGCAGATGAACATCAGATTGAACTTCAGAATATGTTCAGTGAGCTCAGTGGAACTGTGCTAGAAATCAATGACAAAATGTTAACCAGAAAATTTTCAGGTGATTAGAAAATAAACAATACTGTTATGAATAATCCATAGGTTTAAAGAAGCATTGTCAGAAAAATTAGCAACCATTTTTAACTGAATGCTAATGAAAATATGATGTATTAAAATTTGAGGGATCATATAAAGCCCTGCTTAGAGGTAAACTCAGTTTTTAATAAATTCATTGTACATGGCTAAATCAACTCATTTTAAGAAGATGGGAAAAAACCAGCAAATTAAGCTAAAAAAGTAGAATAGAAAGAAGGGTGAGAATACAAATCAATAAAACAGACAACAAATATACAATAGAGGAAACTTTTAAAAGCCAAAATTTGATTTTTTTTTTTTTTTGGTTACATATATTAAGCCATTTATTATAGGCTAGTGATGTCTCAAATGGTGGAGCATCTACTGGTCTTTCAATTCCTTCAGTCTTCTGATGGAAGACTTTACCGTGACAGCAGAAGTGGTATTGTAGGTCCAGGCTCCACTAGCTACTGTTTTCATGCAAGAACCACAGTGCCAGGTGCCCACAGCGCGTCTCTTCATCTTGGTTTGTCACAGAAGGAGCAAGTATACTTGGCATGCTGATCTCGATCTTCTTCACCATCTTCCAGAGCGAGGCCCCATAGAGGTCTCGTATTTACTGATGATTCCGAACTTCTTGGTGCGTTTGGCCGATCTAGGATGTGCAGGGAATGACACTCACAATCCAAAATTTGATTTTTATAATAGATTAATAAATTTGATAAATATTTGGTATAATTAATCAAAGAATAGAGAAAAAAGACACAAATGTTCACTATTTGGAGAAAAAAAAAGATATCACAGATTGTACAAACATTAAAACAATGATAAAAATATTATAAACAAACATTTACTAATAAATTTGAAAATAGATGAACAATTTTCTTAAAAACTCAATAAAACTGACATGAATGAAAAAGAACATAAATCCTAGATTTATTAGAGAAATTGAATCAATAAGTGAAAACCTTCCTGGCTGAGATTAAATCTTACCTTCAAAAGCACAATGTCTGCTTCACAGTAGTGCTGAGGTAATACTAGTTGAATGAGTGAATAAGAATTGAAATATTCTTACTGTATTGCTTGCATTTGTTTATGCATCTATCTCTTCTACTAGGTCATGAGCTCCTTGAATGTAGTATGGTTGTCTTAGCTATCTTTGTGTTCCTAGCTTCCAGCACCGGTATTTATAACTGGTAAATAAAGGTTTATTGAATAATTGAATTAAAAAGAAAAAGGGCTACTACTGTTTACCGAGTGCTTTCTATGCACTACCTCAATGCTAGAAACACTTATCTCATTTATTCTTAATTATATTTCTATAAGAGAGGAGTTTTTAGTCTCATGAGGGGACTACATCTTAAACCCGCTAATTCATGTTTGTGCTTTGAAATGGCAGAGTTATTATTTGAATATGAATTTGAACTGTCTTCAAAACCAATTTTTTTCCACTATACCAGTGGTTTCCAAAACTGATGACATGTACACAACGGGTACTCAAAGAAAGAAAATTTTAGAGAAAAGCAAACTGAGACTGAGAGAGATGAAATAATTTTTCTGAGATCACACACTGTAGCTTTTTCATCAATTACATTTACTATTAAGAACAATAACCATGAGTTTCTTAAGCTTTATAAAGTTTAATAAAACTAATACCAGTGAGAATTAGGACCAAATGCTAATAATATTTCCTATTTTTAGGCAAAAGGGGCTTGGTTTCTACTCTAGTCCAAATGGCCTGATTTCCATCTAGTATATATATATATATATATATATATATATATATACTTTGTAAATAGTATGGTATAATTACCAACAAAACAAAAAAATGTAGCTACTACGGTTCTTGCAAAATTAGCCAATAGCTTCTTAAGAATGGCTTTCTATAATGTCTTTGCTCCACATTTTATTTAGAAATGTGAACTATACTGGGCTCAGTGGCTCAGCCTGTAATCCCGTGCCTTTGGGAGGCTGAGGTGAGTGGATTGCCTGAGCCCGCGGGTTTGAGACCCACCTGGGCAACTTGGTGGAACCCAGCAGGTCGAGGCTGCGGTGGCCAGGAGTGGCCACTGCATTCCAGTCTGGGCGACACAGTGAGACTCCAACTCAAAAAATAAAAATAATAAATAAATAAATAAATTCATTAAAAAAAAAGAAAGAAAAAGAAATGTGAACTATCAGCTATATTTTCCTAAGACTAACTAATATAAGTTTAGTAGTGATACAAATTTTTCAAGTTTATCTGAGATATTTAAGATAAAAACCAAAAGAAGTGCCTATGAAAATATGGAAGCTTTTTTAAAAATTATGGATTCCAAGTGTATGCTTAAAAGTAGTTTTTAAAAATAGAAGAAGAGACTAAAATTTGGCCTAAAAATTATGATATGCTTTGATTAACTAATTAATGAAATCCTCTCCAGCTTCAACCCACACTATGCATTCATTTATTCATTTATTTCATTTTAATTCATAATGTAAAAGTTATCTTTGTTCAAAGGATCATGAATGGTATAAAAAATCTTAAGTTATATGAAAAGAGATACAGTAAATTATGCAGAGAATCTGACAAAAATCTTTGGTATTTTTGAGTCTTTTATCTTTTATTAAAATTAAGTTATACTTATCATCTACTAGGGTTTTAAAAGATAATCTTAATTTTGTTCTTTTTAAAATTTTGATTTATTTTATTTTTTATTATTTTTTAGAAATAAGGCCTTGCTATGCTATTCAGGCCAGTCTTGAGCTCCTGGCCTCAAATGATCCTCCCACCTTAGCCTCTTGGGTAGCTGGCATTACAGGTGTGAGTCTCTATGCCTGACTTGGAGGTAATTATATTGACCGAAAAATTCATTAGATAACTATGCTTATAGTGACTCACACTTCTCTGGTATCTTTTTATCTAAAGAGCTTTGTGGAAGATTCAATAATAGACATTATATTCTAAGAATATAACACAAATTCTGGAGCTGCTGTAAACCATCTCATGAAAAGACAAATCTAAAATGAATGATGGAAACGAAGTGTGTAATTCAAGGCTAGTTATTGTTTAATAATTAACAATTCTGTAAGATGGAAGATTCTCATGAGGACACTTCTGTTTGCAGAGAGCTAATGTGCTCTTCCGTGGTGGAGAACAGAGAAAGGAAACCAGCTCTATCGTGTCTCTTCTTAGAAGGCTAATAGCCCCTTTCTAAAGTCTCCATTCTCATGACCTAATTACCTTACAAAGGCCCCCATCTCCAAATACCATCACATTGGGAATTAGGGTTTCCAAGCTGTAAATTCTGGGGGGGCACAAACATTCTGTCCATAGAAAACCCTCCCAAGAGTATTCATATTTTAAAAGGGAAACTGTGTGTGAAAAATCTAAAGCCATGTTCTTTCTCAAAATCTCCCTGATATTCCTCAATTCATATTATGTGGTTATCTCCCATGGTGCACTACTACTCTATCTAGGTTAAAATCAACATCATCTAGGAACAGCTTACTTTTTCTGCTAGAGGGATAGGCCTTCTGAAAGGACATATGACTGTGAGGACTCAAGCGATTGTCCAGGATTGGTTGCCTGTGGTGAAGAGGAGCGCCTAAGGTGAGGTCTCATTCAGTTACTGATTAATAAAGCTGAATATAGGAAAATGGCCTACAGCAGAGGGGGAACATAAAAAATTTGGCTGAGAAGAAACGAAAATTAAGTGAACAGAATATCTTTTAAGGCAGTAAAGGCAGACAGGCAACTGGGAGCTAATGTTACAGTGTAGGTCTCACATGCCATGAAAAGCCAGACATTAGTATGTCTTGCCACTGTGACTGGGAAATATTGAGGAAATTTTGGCATCAAGTAAAGGCACTTGCAAATTCATTTCTTTTGGGAATCTAGGAATAGCAGACAGGACAAACAATGTAAGAATAAAGGGATAAAAACTAGTTATCGAAAGACCCAGTTGTCACTTTAAGACTAATGATTCTATGTAGATTGGGAAAGAGTTTGTTTGCATCAGTGTTGTTCAGAGGAACCCAACTTTAAATCTCCCTGTTATAAACAGCATTCCTAAAATCATGAACCCACCTCATTAACCATGAGACATTATACAGATACTATTCTGACAATGACTCATCCTTGCTCTGGGTAGAAATGAAAACTTCATAAAATTTAAGTAGAGATGTTAGACTGTAGAAAGATGAGTCTCTTTAGTTCTAGCCAGAATTTAAGCTGATAAGCATATTTAAAAGTGAATTAATGATAATGTATAAAAGACTTTAAAATATGACATTTTCTAGCTACTATGAAACGGAACATAATCTAATTCCATTTAGTTATTAGTTTTCTTTTATTTTATACTTAATTTTACTTAATAATAACTATAGATATTGCCAGCCTCAAGACTGGAAAATCAGTACCTTAGACATAAGGAATGATGTCACAGATGGAACCAATTTCTCTTTGTGTTTTTCTTTAAAATAAATTTGGAGAGTAAAATAAAATGTTGAGAGAGTGAGAGGCTATGAGTTCCAGGGGCACATGTATGAGGCTAAAATGGCATTGTTAATTAGGTGCAAATTGGCAAATTATTTTCATCTACTTGATCCTACAGTAAATTTCTTTTTTTTCATTTGTGAGTAGAGTTCTTTTAAGTAAACAGAAGTGATGAGATATGACTAGATATAACTAATACTGCAGGGTATTTTTTTCTTGCAGATAAATGTGGTCTCTCTTATATTAATACCCCGTTCCTAGTGACAGTACCCTCAGGATGACTACTTAAGCTGCCGAGGTGATTGGATAATTCGTCATCAGACTAAATCTTTAATAAGGCCTCCAGGCAGGGTTGGAAAATAGATGGTCCTTCAAATGAATTAGTTATATCTTGGGTCATGTGATGAGTGTGACTAACTGGGGCTATCATATCTATTATCACCACAATGAATTATTGCCCTGTCTCTTATTTTTTCTTTCTCCCAACCTCCACCCTGCTGCAAGATGGAGCTGAGCTGTTGATAGCCTGGGAGTAATGGGATAGAGGGTAGCACTTTTCCTGATGACAAAGTGGGATGATTGGCTTCTTTAGATGGAGGGATGGGGAAACATAGTTGCCCTCTAATATCAGAGGAAGAAGAAAGGGACGTTTATTACTGCCAGAGGTAAGAACTTGTCAACTCTGATTGTGTCTTAAGAGCTAAGGAAAAGGGACAGAAAATCATTTGATATGAGTGTGAAATACTGGGACAATCAGGAGCAGAGGAACACATAACTATCATTGGAGAGGAAAAGGTCAAAATCAGCATGATTTTTTTTTTTTTTTAGTTGAAATCTCTGTTACCCTGGCTGGAGGGCAGTGGCACAATCACTGTTAACAATCACCTTCACCTCTTTGGCTCAAGTGATCCTTCTGCTTCAGCCTCCTTAGTAATTGGGACTGCAGGCATGTGCCACCACACCCAGCTATTTTTTTAATTTTTTTTGTAGAGATGAGATTGTGCCACTATGTCATCCAGGCTGATCTCCAATCCCTGTGCTCAGGCTGTTCTCCTGCTTTGGCCTCCCAAAATGCTGGAATTACAGAATTGAGCCATGATACCTGGCTTGCATGACATTTTTAAAAGAAAGTATTTCCAGCTTGTTGTACAGATTTTCAGCTATGGTTGAGTTCAGTCAAGATCTACTAACAAAATTGTAAAGATACCCATTCTTAGGACTGCACTGGCAGTTTGTCATCTCCTGAAATTTTACTTTCTAGGTGTATGTGGAATGTTGAGTGGTTGTATAAAGCCCAATGTCTAAATTTTAAGATATTTTATAACTTGCTACATAAAGTTAAAAATACTTATGTATATTCCAATATTAAAGTTGTTCAAGTTGCTTTATTTCATTTTTTAAAATAGTGAGAATAAAGGAATATTGTCATGTATTAACATGGCAAACATGCTTTAATAAAGGATATACTACTATCTCAGCTGAACATTAATGATTTATATAGTTACCTAACGGAAACATCATTTCAATAAATGTCAAACTTAGTAATATTGAGATGCACAATTTATATAAGGAAAACATATCCATTTCAGTGAAAATTACTAATGGACAATTAGCAACTACCTCAACCACACACAAAAAAAATCAAATAATTTTAGCATGTAGAGTGAGATAAATAAAATTTAAAGTTTTTAAAGCAAGTTTTAATATTCCTGTTTATATTTCAGAAATAAGAAAAAGACAGTTTATAAGTATATCTAAAAAGGCCTCATAAATCCATCTTTCAGAATGAATCACTCTGTTCCTTATACTAGTGGGAGAAAGCTGGTGGATGCCCTCTGAGAACAATATGTTGAATATGTCATAGAATTGGTTTCTATCCCTAAAAGAGAATTTAGAGTAAATTACATCTTGCACATCATCTCTTCTGAGACACTAGACTGTGATCTTGTTCATATATTACCTTGTTCATCCTAGTTCTACTGTTTGTGACCCTAAAACATAGATCTTTCATTTAATGGGAGCAACGGGTTCTCATTTCAAATTTTTCAGCATCAGTGGAAACTTAGCCACAATCAGGGACGCTCTTTGTAATTCTCAATACCACGCAGCCTAAGCGCCTGTGCAGTTCAAATGTGAAATTAATTCCCCATATGGCATATATGTCATATGTTGTGCAGAGAATCCGGGGTAGGATGCATCCCACCATCTTCCCTCCCTTTCAGATCGAAACCCCAAATGTCATCTTAAAAAAATCCAACCAAATTTGGGTCTCAGAGCATTTGCTACTTTCAAAGTAGTGTTATTGCTTTGGATACGTTTCAAAAATAAGAAGCTTTAAAAATCTTGGAAAATGACAAATCATCAGTTTCCTTGACTAATGACTTACCTTTTAAGCCAACTTTAATAAACTTGCATTAAAACTAAACAAAACTGATGACCAAAAGGAAAGCTTTATTATTTTAAGAAATTCACTTCTATTATTATTGTTAACATCTCACTCCAAAGTGACAGCCTCCGAGCCTGAAAACAGTTCAGTTTTACTGAATCCCCCAAATAAATTATGGCTGCCTTATTAAGTGTTATAAACTGCTCAATTTGCTAAATAAATTGGGGAAATAGCTTTTAAGTACTGACTACCTATCGTTACCTTTGATCTTTTATTTTCTTACCCACAATGAGACTGTAAAATGAAGACGGCAGTTGGGAACTGATTACTGATATCATCGAACAGCCTTGGAACACAGATGTCCATAATGCATACTGCATAATCCTTGACTTTTGAAGGCAGAGCAGCCACAGTGTTTGGATACCATCTTCACTCAAACTTTCCATGACTGGTGTTTCTCTACCGTAGCCCTTAGCTCATAATCTCATTCCCCTCCTTCCTGGATCTCAGCCCTAATGAGTATGTCCTGTTGGGTGGCAGTGATCATAGTTCATGTGATTCACATTCATACTAACTTGTCTTCTGTGCCATTCTTTTGAGGTCTTTCTCTCCATTAGGAAGTGAGCATAGTCAACTTTATCTTTAATCTTGTTTTTTTTTTTGTATAAATATAAGAGGTAAAAGTATAGTTTTGTTACATGAATATATCAAGTAGTGGTGAAATCTGGGGTTTCACTCACATAATGTGCATTGTACCCATCAAGTAATTCCTCATTCCTCAGTTCCTCTCACCCTTCCTCCCTCCTGAGTCTCCAGTGTCTACCCCCTTGCTATATCTACGAGTACACATTATTTTGCCCCGACTGTGGGCACATACGGTAGTTGACTTTCTGTTTCTGAGTTGTTTCATTTAAAATAATGACCTCCAGTTCTTTTGCATGTTGCTTCAAAAGACATGATTTAATTCTTTTTTTATGGCTAAGTAGTATTCCAGTGTGTGTGTATAAATGAGGTTTATATATACACACACATAAATATGTATACACACATGTATGAATACACACACAAACATATCACATTTTCTTTATCCAGTCCTCCACTGATGGGCATTTAGGCTGATTCAACATTTTTGCTACTGTGAATAGTGTTGTGATAAATATACAAGTGCAGGTATCTTTTTGATATAATGATTTCTTTTTCTTTGGGTGGATACCCAGTAGTGGAATTGCTGGCTCGAAGGGTAGTTCTGCTTTTAGTTATCTGAGAACTCTCCACACTGTTTCCCATAGAGATTGCACTAATTTGCATTTCCACCAACAGTGTATAAGTGTTCTTTTTTCTCTACATCCTCGCTGACATCTGCCAGTTTTTTGACTTTTTAATAGTTGCCATTCTGAATGGCGTAAGATGATATCTTACTGTGGCTTTAATTTGTATTTCTCAATGATTAGTGGTGTTGAGCATTTTATTCATGTGCTTATTAGTAATCTATATGTCTTCTTTTGAAAAATGTCTATTATGTCTTAGAGAAATTTTGGTAAAGTTTGATAGTTTCAATCATTTCAGCAGATTTATCAGACTTCTTTTTATCTTTACCAGCTTTTTTGGTGACTTTCAAGTCAGACCATTAAGGTATGTTCTGCTATAACTATGCATATCTTGGCTGGAAGGATCATGCATCTGGGCTTATGCCACTGTGGTTTATGTGGGTGGGCCCCTGGAGCCAGGGGTTGCTAAGGTGGTGAGTCTGTAGTTCAATACACAATCATCCTCTGGGGACTCATTTCTGTTCTATTTTGGTCACATTTTAGACTGGACTTGTTAGATTTGGGGAAGGCCCTAGCATCCAGGAGGCCCACAGGTATCTATGTCTGTTCCAGGGCTCAGTCATCTTGTTCATTAGAATGACACACCAATGTGCCTACACTGACTAATGAGTTTTCACGTTCAAAGTGCTGCCATGGTGTTTCCAGGGTCTATAAAATTTAATGAGAGACCAAATGTGTTGATGGAGTCTAGCTTATTGATGCAGTAATAGCTTCCTTCAAGTCTCTGGGTATGTTTAGATTTACTAGAAACTCAGTGTTGGCAGGTCAAGGAACGTTAACATTTCCCATTGTGGTGATCTTCAGTTTATACTGAAATAGGGTTTATTTTCATTAATGATCCAGTTAATGCTGGAAATATGTTGTGTGATGAGGTAGGGGAATTAGACACTCTAGCTGATCATGTTTTCTTCTTCTGAGAACACAACAGAGTTAAATGATAATGCCACAGCCCCTTCACAGATTTCAAACAACTTATACACACATGACTGTAAAGCCAAATTGTTTTTTTCCAACTTAAAATTTATAGAGTGATACTGTACTAAAGATCGGACTGAGTTCCCAGAGAATGAATTCAGGCATTTCAAAGACACTAGAGTAGATAAATTGTCAGAGGAAGAAGGTAAAAAAAATCTTAGAGAGAATTCCTAGAATCTTTGCCATTTGTTGACGATGATTTCATTAAAAAGTGTTTTTAATATGATGAATAAAATGTGTCTCCATATTTGTGTTTTTGTATTTCTCTTCAAATGTTACTTCCCTAAAGTAATAATGGAATTTCACCTGTGCGGCTGAAAGCTTCATAGAAATTTACAGTATTATGACCATCAATCACATGCTGGATATTACTGAAGTGCTGACAGATAGAGTGTGCTACTATCACACAACAATAAACTTTTCTGTAAGAAAGTATAATTTTAAAGATGCTGAAAGGCTTGCTTTACCTAGACTGTTAAGCATCATGACTTATATCTTCCCTTGGTGGATGATTCATTAATATTTTTGATTCCAAAAGTTAAAGTGGCTATTAAAAAACAACTCCTAAACATTAACATGGAACTTTCATAGAATATTAGAACCAGAAGATAACTGACTTATAATATTCGATCATGACTACTTGATATGGCCTGCTTGAAATAAAATGTTGGGAAACTTTCAGTGGTTCTTCCATTAGCATTGTCTGGGGTTGGGAGAACTGCACTGGGGATAATTTTGTGCACTTTATTAGCATCAGTGCCCCGAACATAAACTGTGCTTAGAAAATCTTTGTAGAATGAATGAACAAGAGAATGGAAGAAACACACTGGAAATATGCTGGATGGACTCCAGTGCTACTCTCTAACTGACATTGCTATTACTTAACGTTGGAAAAACAAAGAGAGCATAATTCCCTTTTGGTTTGTGAATGCGCTAGGTGTCTAATTCTTAATTTTATTTTCTTCCCACTTAAACCCAATATGATTGCGATCTACTTTTTTGCAACGATTGTTTGAAAACAAATCACATAATGTTACACTCCTGCTTTAAAAATCTTCTAATGCCTGTTCCCTGTAGTTAAAATCTAACCATTTATCACGACCTTCAAGTACTGCTCGCTCTGGTCCTAGCCCACTTATCCTATTTCAACCCCCATGGCTCTTTACCTCTCAAACTGCATGCCACACAGGGACCCGCTGTCTGTTCCTAGCTAGTTTCCACCCCAGGACTATTACACTGATTCTTCTCCTTGCCCAGAAGGCAGATCTTTATGTTTCTGACTCCTTCCCATCACTCAGTTCTCAGTTTAAAGTTGACCATCTTTAACAAAGCCTTCCTTGACCATCCCATCCTAGATAATGAAGCTCCCTCCAACACTCGCTGCTCACTCATTCTTTATTTTTATTTTTACGTTTGAGTTGAAGTCTCACTCTGTCACCCAGGCTGGAATGCAGTGGCTCACGACCTCGACCTTCTGGGTTCAGGCAATCCTTCCACCTCAGCCTCCCAAGTAGCTGGAACTCCAGGAATGCGCTACCATGCCCAGCTAATTTTTTTATTTATTGTAGAGACGAGGTCTCACCAGGTTGCCCAGGTGGTCTCGAACCCCTAGGCTCAGGCAATCCTCTCACCTCAGCCTCCCAAAGTGCTGGGATTACAGACAGTAGCCACAGCTCCCAGTCACTATTTTTATATGGCAGTACTTACTTTATCCTATTATATTCCAAGAGAGCCATGTTTATCGCTGTGTTCTCACCGTCTAGAACAGAAGTTGGCATAGGTTGAATGGATAAATACTGAATTTTTGGTTATATATTTAAATGCTCTAACAAGCAGAGTAAGGAATGAACTCTGGGCATGCTCACCTTGTCTGAGTCCCTCAGTATCCTGTGCATACATATGTAATTACTATATTTTATTCTACCACTTTATAAACCCATCTAATTCGCCAGTTGTAACACAATAATTTTTAATTTTGAAAAGTGAGGAATTTCTGACATATGCTATATTCTTATATACAAGTAAATATAATTAACGTATGTTTGTTATTTGTCTCCAATTTCTTTTTCTGAAGGAACTTGTGTTAAGCCTTAATCACTGTGTGGGTCTAGGTTTTGATCTGTGATATCCGATATTGTGTTCACCAACCACATGCTGCTGTTGAATTGGAAATGAACTGAAATTAAGTAAAAGTAAAGAAAAGTTAAAAATTAAGGTTCTCAGGTTTACTAGTCACACTTCCAGTGCTCAGTAGTCCCGTGCGGCTAATGGCTATTATATTGGGGAATACAAATGAAAAACATTTACATCCTCACAGAAAACTCTCTTGGACAGCTTAGTTTTAGCCTGTATTCTGTGTGTCCCACAAGAGCTTGTTTTACTTAATTTGGAGTTGGATTTTTAATGACCTGGTTGCTACATTCTTAGTTCTTTCCTTGTGCATTTTCTCAATGCTTAGTCTATACTCACCTAAAAAACAGAATTAAAAAAAATATCTTTTCATTCTTCTTTATCTTTCCTCTATATCAACTAAAACCTCATTTTTCTGTAAGATTACTAGTATTATGATACTCTCAGAACACTGTCCTGGTAGTCAGTAAATGTAAGAAATTTAAAAATTGACTTATTTATAGAATAACTATTCTTTCTTTTTGCCACAACTGCAATGTATTAACATCTTTGAGCATAATAAACAGCTTAACATGCTGCAGTTTTGTTTATAGGCTAAAGTACCAGAAGTGGAATTGAATTAAATATATACACACACATATATATCTATATATAATTTCAATACCTTTGGGGGATACAAATAATTTTTGCTTTAGGCATTAAAAGTACCCACCACACCCACCTGCCCACATTGTACCCAATAGGTGATTTTTTTGTCCCCCTCGCCCCAAGTCTCTGGTGTCCATGAAACCATTCTCTATGTCTCTGCCTATCCTTAGTTGGTTTCCACTTATAAGTGAGAACATGCAATGTTAGTTTTCTGTTCTTGAGTTAGTTCACTTAGGACAATGTTCTCCAATTCCACCCAAGTTGCTGCAGAGACATTATTTCACTCTTTGTGATAGCTCAATAGTATTCCATGGTGTATATGTACTACATTTTCATTGTCCACTGATCGGTTGATGGGCATTTAG